TCAAACTCATCACCCCACACGAAATGGAAAATCCGATCGTTTTCATGCCCACCATCACCCCCTTCCCTCCTGCTTATCAACATCCTCCTCGTATTTTGCGTCAGAAACAACTGGAGCAACAGCAACTACAAGACCTCATCAATCTACTTGCGCAAACCCGCGACTACTACAGCCTGCTGCCGGGCAAATGCACCTGGACCTTCCCTTCCCTTCATCATCTCAAGTTAAACACGGATGGAAGTTCCAAAGGAAATCCGGGTCCTTCCAGTTTCGGGGGCTTAATCAGAGATAGCAAAGGAAGATGGCTGTGTGGATACATGGGCAAGATGCATGGCGGATCTTATACGGCTCTCCTATTAAGCCTATTTTTAGGATGTATTTTGTGTATAATTTGTATTATAGTAAGTCAATAAGTGTAGGCTTATGTTTAGGCGTAATTGATGCTTATGCTTGTATATATATATGATATATCTCTCAATAAAAATCAAGCAAGGAAAATTGATTCCTTACATGGTATCAGAGCCACATAAACCCTAATTTTTTCAMCTGTGTCAATTTCTTGCTTTGCTCCACAGCTATATTATCAATGGCGGAGGACGGGAAGATCGATCCAACATCGCCGTTCTATCTTGGTTCTGGAGATCAACCCGGAAATCTGATTACCCACGTAATCTTGAAGGGCGATAACTACTTGGCTTGGGCCAGGGCAATTACTTTGTCTCTTAAGGCTCGTCGGAAATTCGTMTTTGTTGACGGTACCATCAGCAAACCGTCCGACAAGAAGAATTTGATTAATTGGGAGAYAGTTAATTCTATGCTTGTGTCATGGATGTTACGGAGCATGGAACCGAAAGTTGCGGCTTCAATTCCYTTTCATGATGAGGCAAAACGACTTTGGGATTACCTGGAGAAACGTTTTTGCGTGGCTAATGGCCCTCGTTTACAACAATTACGGGCAKATATCATCGAATGTAAGCAAACTAAATCTATGTCTATTGAAGATTACTATAATCGTTTAATGGGTTTGTATGATGATCTTACTCGGCTTAAGCCGTTACATGYTTGCGAGTGTGGCAAGTGTACCTGTGATGTGGTAGGAAAATTCATCAGTGATAGAGAGGAAGAAAAACTACATCAGTTTCTGATTGGTGTTGATGATGACTCATATGCCATGGTTCGGACCAATTTGCTCTCTCAACACCCACCACCGGATCTAGATCGAGCATATCAGGCGTTCCTACARGAAGAGAGATCCCGCGGTATTGCACGGGGTAAAGCAGTGAGAGAAGAAGCAAATGTTTTTGCTATACAGACTGATCGCTGGAAAGGAAAGTTTGAGCGACAAGATAAGTCTAAACTCCTTTGTTCTCACTGTAAAAAATCGGGGCATGATGATGCTACGTGTTTTAAGCTTCATGGGTATCCAGATTGGTGGGAAGACCGAACTCGAGGCGGTAAAGGGCCCGGTAATAACCATACCTCTGCCACCGGGACGGTTGTTTCTAAACATGGAAAAGCTGGAGGACTACGTGTTAATGCAGTGACTAGTCACAACGGCGGAACAAGCAATACCGATGCAATAAGTCTTGGACCTGAAGGAGCTTCCTTGGCCCATTTGACACCTGAGCAAGTTCAAATCCTTTTAAATTTGGTAAATAATCATCAACAGGACCAAACGATGGGTAAGTGTTATTCTTTATCTTGGATTATTGATACTGGTGCTTCTCATCATGTTACCGGCAACGCATCCTGTTTGACTCATTCAAAAGATATTTTAGCATGTCATGTTGGTTTGCCTAACGGAGAACAGGTCATGGCTACCAAAGAAGGTTGCGTGAAACTTTCTGAAGGAATAACACTAGAACACGTGCTATTCGTACCTACATTACATTGCAATTTGATCTCGGTGACAAAATTGATCGATGACTCTAAATGCTTTGTCATGTTCACTGACTCATTATGTGCTATACAGGACCAACGTTCGGGGAGCCTGATTGGAGCCGGTGAACGAAAGGATGGACTCTATTACTATTGCGGGGTTCCTTCGGTATGCATGACGAAAGTTTTAGAGATCAGCGAATTTGAGTTGTGGCATAGACGAATGGGGCATCCGTCGGATAGAGTCGTCAAGTTAGTTCCTGCTATTCGTTCTAGTACCTCTAGAAAGTCGTTGAATAAAGCTTGTGATGTTTGCCCTCAAGCAAAACAAACACGAGAAAGTTTTCCTAATAGTAATAGTAAAGCAAGTCGGATTTTTGAATTACTTCATTGTGATTTATGGGGGCCATATAAGACACCTTCATCGGGTGGTGCACATTATTTTTTGACTTTGGTTGATGACTTTTCAAGGGCTGTTTGGGTATATTTGCTGCATTCTAAAACAGAAGTTTATAAAGCCTTTTGCTCCTTTTTTGCTATGATTACACAACAATTTGAGGTGCAAGTTAAAATTGTGAGAAGTGATAATGGAAGCGAATTTAACTGTATGTTGCAATATTTTGCTGAACATGGAATCGTCTTCCAAACTTCTTGCGTTGGTACCCCACAACAAAATGGCCGGGTAG